ATTTTTGTCAGTTGGAGGTTTTTATAGTGTGGAGGATTTTATAAGTGGTAAATGATGCTAACTGTGGCTTTTCATTGTCACTATCGATGTATGTTGTTCTGTTCTTTTCTTTTTAGTATACTTGACTTGCCATATGTACAAATTTGTATCTTTGCCTGGCCAATTATTTAAATAAAAATAAATAAAATAAACAACTTCCAATTTCATCCGGTCCTATCATCGATATTTGCTCATACATAGCAATAGCCTTGATTGCTGCCTAAATCATAAATTGTAAAGTTGTATATTGCGAGTTTACTTTTATAATAAAAATCGCTGACTTCTGACTTGGGCATTACTAACACCTTCTGCAAATCAAAGCATGCTGTTATTAGAGATCTATCATTTTTCGACAATTCTTTATCAGTGTCTTTCAGATTTCGAACCGCGATTTTGTTTAAATTATGATTATTATAATCATCTTCCATTTTTTCTGTTCTCTTCTCGGGATCTGTATTCCACACACTACACACGAAACACTGATCTTTTTTTGGCTTAAAGAAAGCTGTATTAAATTTCATTCAATTTTCATTTCTACGTTCTTCTTTTTTCTTTTCAATTTATGGTGGCTATATCTCAAGAATTTACACAAAATTTTCTGATACTTTTGGCACCTCGTTAGTCGTTTGAGGGCCTATCTTCCAAAATAAGTCGGGTTTTGTCGACTTCCCGACCTGGCCAAACCGGGCCTGCTCACTAGACTTGGCTGGAATCAGTTTGGGTCCATAAAAGTGTTTCAAGTATCTTCTTTAATAATTTTCGGACACAGCAAGCATATCATAATTTCATCTATTTTTAAATCAGAAATACCAAAAATTTTTGAGAAAGTGCAGTTTGCGGCATTTTATATTGGAAATGTACACAATTACAGAATTTTAAATAAAATATAAGCATTAAGAGGTAGGAAAATTCAGTAATGTACACATGTATGCTTTGTATTCCTCAGAAAATTCAAAATTTCTACGCCAATGATTTTCTTTTTTTTATTAATTACATTTTATTTGCAATAAAAAATTCTTCGACGATCGGCCTTACTTATTTTTAATTTATTCAACTATTACTGATAGAATTGTACAGTGTATTAAGTGAATTTTTAATTTTATTTAATTGTGTCACCAACCAAACTTTCATTAATCTATGTCAAACGTCTTTTGAAATATTTGCTTATTTGTGATTCTTTTCAAAAACTTAAAACACCCTGTAACTTGCAAGGGATCTTTAGCCACAAAATTATCTGGTTCCTTCATTTAAATAGGTACGTACACCTTATATGTTTGTTAGTTAACTATGCATAACAATTTTGACACGAGAGATATAAATGTAATTAGAAAATAAATTTATTAGGGGTCAATATTTCCAAAGAAGTGAGAAAACGATACTTATTATTTATTGATGTTTTTAAATACATAATAAAATGCAAGTCGTAAAGGTAACGTTATTAAGACACACATAAAGTTAAAATACACACATCACATAAATAAAAGTATTAAATTAGGTCATTAAAACTATGATTAAAAAATTTGTGTATGCTGTAGAAAGCTGTTTTAATTAAAAACTTTTTCATTGTATAACTAATTTCATTTTCATTAAATTTTTACTCATTATTTTATTGTTTTATTCAACATTTAAAAAACCATAAAATGCAGACCCACCAAACATCATTGTAATTGGCGAAAATCTATCTTTCTAAAAATGTTAAAACAAACAGAGCGGTTCATTTAAAAAAAACTGCGACAACGCCGTATCTCTAAAAACAAAGTAGATGTTGGATATTAGAGTATGTCATTGAAAAGAATAAAAATGCTACAAATACTTTCGTGGAAGGTATTTTTTAATCAAACTTATGGTTCACCCTGTATACAGATGTTCTGACACATTTGCCCAACCCTGCATATCGAAAAAATTTTAGTTTTTTATTCCAAGACTATCCCTTATTAAGAAACTGTTATGGCCATACAGCCCTTTGAAAAAAAGGTGTCGTTGCTTGCCAACAGCTGCCATTTTGAATCAAAATCGTTTCACAGTGCTACTTGAAGACATGTACAATAAGGCATTTTTATTCCTTGAAAATTCCCAAAAATCGCCTCGTTTTCCAAACTCTAAAGTGGCGTTACCTCAATGTTACTGCAATAAAAAGTGTAAACAAGTAAGATTTGTAGAGCTTCTCATCTTCTCATCACATCTTTGGTTTTGTCTCAAGTCTCAAGTGCAGTAGTTTCAAATTATTCTTATGAAGGGTATCATAGTCATGATTACTGTTATCTCTCGAGTTATTGGATATATTATTACTATTATTAGTGTATAATAAATAATATAGAATATAAACATAAGGTATTGTTAAAATCAGTGGCGGCTCGTGACTTTTTGAGATGGGTGGGCAAAATATTTTTTCCCTCATGTAACTTAATATCATATATTAATTGCAATCTACGTTAGTCTATTTACTTTTGAAAGTGTAAAAAACTTAAGAATTATGAAGATAGTTAATATAAATATACCTGAAAATTATATTAGTTATTCCAAAAGTATACCTAATAGTTCAGCAAGAACAAACGAGAATGTCATCACAGTGATTTCTTGCCGGAATAGGGGATAAGGCAAGGATTAAGGCATAGAAGGACATATAAAATTATATAATTCTCTAAACAAATAGTAAAATTCTCTATCACTTTTATAGCTGAAATTACTAACGATAAATTATACTAAAATTCTAATAAGTAAATAAATAAATAAATAAATAAGTAAATAACCAAATCAATAAGGCGCTTTACAATGTCTCTATTTTCGTCCACGACTTTATTATGGTTTAAAATATTCTCACGAAATGCAGAATCAAGAAAAGTTTGAATGTTTTGTTTTCCTAATAATTTAAATTTTAATGTTGAATATGTATGCTCCTCCGATCGCTCGTGTTTTTTTTAAAGATTCATTTATATGTTTCAGATCTGAATATCCTAGATAATTCCATGGAGTTTTACTTTTTTCATTAAACTGTAAGCAATTCCAACAATATAATTTGTTTCTGGTTTCATTACCTTTTAACCATTCATATTTATTGTACCAATTTTTACTAAATGATCTGTTACTTCCGCAATTGTTTTTATTTATTAAATTTTTCATGTCAGGCGTAGGTTTTAATTTTGAAATAAATAATTTATCATCGAAAGTTAACATACAAAATTTTTTATTTAATAAAAAATTAATAATATCACCATTGCTACTCACCAATTCGCTATTTTCGGCTTGCCATTTTGCTTTACTCCAAACTATTAAACATTAAAAACTTACCTAAACCACTATACTAACCCTAACCTAGAACTTACAAACAACCAAGTCGTGAAGTACAAGGAATAACAAATCTCTACCTTCCTAATCTATGAAATAAAACTAACATCAAACCGCAGATTACACGTAAGTACCCGAAGAATATACGAGTGAAGTCGAAGGGCTTGCCCGGAGAGTAGAGTTATTTTAGGTAATTATGTATATTCAAATGATAATTTATTAAAAATCTGATTGAAATAAAAAAAAAATATTAAATAGAAGCTATTTTTTTTAATCGAACAGTTTATTATTTGAAAAAATAAATAAATATGTATCGAATTTAAAAGTCCTAAAAATAATTTATATCACTTCCATATTTACAAACTCGAATCTATTAAAATATTGAAAATTTTTCAGCAATCACTCTTAATTTAGTTTAACAGTAACGCTTCAAAATAACCTTAATAAATATAATTGTCAAAGAACATTCAACATATCATAGATATTTATTTTTTAACGCGATTTACAAATTATTATAAAACGGTTTATTACTTCGTTTACTAATATTTGTTTTCTGGAATACCTTTGCAGGGAAAAATTGTTCTAATGTTCAAAAATTCATTTAAAGAACAAAATTACAGCACATAAATATACATATATTTCCAACCGCTGCTGGCTGGCTGGCGAAAAGCCGTAGCTGGCCGATACAACACTCGATGAGTATGCGGGTGCGGGCTGTGTCCGGGCTCGCCCGACTTGGGCTAGATATTCTAAATTAGTGAACGACTTACGTTTCCGATTACTCTCTAGTCCTAGCCCTGCGTATAAGCAGGCAACGTACGGCGTTGTTTAATTCAGCGGCCACGGGCTGGCCCGAATGTTATGTTGGTTGCTGCCGAGATCATCCCAAAAATAATTTACATCACTCCCATGTTTACAAACTAGAATCTATTCAAATATTGAAAATTTCTCAGCAATCACTTTTAATTCAGTTTAACAGTAACGAGTTAAAATAACCTTAATAATTATAATTATCAAAGAACATTCAACATAGCACCATAGATATTTATTTTTTTACGCGATTTACAAATTATTATAAAACGGTTTATTATTTCGTTTACTAAAATTTGTTTTCTGGAATACCTTTGCAGGGAAAAATTGTTCTAATATTTAAAAATTCATTTAAAGAACAAAATTACAGCAAATAAATATACGTATATATATTTCCAACCACTGGTGAAAAGTCTTAGGTGGTCGATACAACACTCGATGGGTGCTCAATGGGTATATGCGAGCTGTGTGCGGTGTGCGGGCTCGCCCGACTTGGGCCAAATATTCTAAATTAGTGAACGACTTACGTTTCCGATTACTGTCTAGTCCTAGGTGCGTATAAGCATGCAAGGTATGGTTGGGGTACGGCGTTGTTTAATTCAGCGGCCACGGGCTAGCCCGAATGTTATGTTGGTTGCTGCCGAGATCATGATTAAAATATAATTTTAAAATTTGGTAGGGGGAGTTTCAAAGGAGGTAACGCATTTTAGATTTAATTTTATAAGAATTGTCAAATCACTTTGATAAATATATACACAAATTTTTGTTTATTCTTCTGAAAATGACGAGCCGCCGCTGGTTAAAATGTTCAATTGAACTTAAAGGAAAAACAGTTTAATAAAAACCTTTTTTTTATACACTTTCAGACATATGCTGTAGACTTATTCTCCCTTGGGTGTCTGTATTACTATGTTCTGTCAAATGGTTTTCATCCATTTGGAGATAGTCTGAGGCGCCAAGCAAATATACTTGTTGGGGAATATGCTTTGTCAGAATTGAAAGGTACCGAGTGGCAAGTAAACATTCAAATACCTTTAGTGGCCGCCCTAATTTCTTCGAAACCAGAGGAGAGACCATCCTGCAATGCAGTTCTAGAACATCCGATATTCTGGAGTTACACTAAGATATTATCATTTTTTCAAGTAAGACTTATTTTTATTAATAAAATGAAGCATTTGAAGAATATTAATTTTTAGGATGTTAGCGACAGAATTGAAAAAGCAGGAGCCGATGATTTTGTCTTACAGGCTTTAGAAAACGATGGTAAAAGAATTGTTAAATTAGACTGGAGAGTTCATATTCACGAAGAAGTTGCCACAGATTTAAGAAAATACCGTACGTACCATGGAGAATCTGTACGAGATTTGTTGCGTGCTTTGCGGAACAAGGTATATTTAAAAATTTTCTGTATCATTTAAATAGTTAGTTTTTTGATGTTTATGGATTAATTGGTTGAATTTAAAATTCAATTCAGGTGATCAATAAGAAAAAAAAATCTTATTTTGGAATATCAGGAATGTTTAATTTTCTAGATACATGATATTATTTTAGATTTTAATGATTTTATCTGATTTGTCTAATAAGATTTAAAATATTCTCTATATTTGAATAAAAATAGCGAGAAATATTATCCCAAAAAAAAATGCAAAATTATTAATTTAAAATCATGTTTATAAAAAAAATTCTGTAGACTTTTTTTTAAACGAATAGTTCTATATTTATTTTTAAATCATTTAAGTGCTGGTACAATAATGAATCATGTTACTGATATGTTCTTTAATTACATAGGCGGGATTGAGGGGGGGTAAGGGGGGCGATTGCCCCCCCAATATTATTACAATTGAGCTAAAAAAATTAAATTCGTATGGCAACAAATCGTAGTAAACCGCAGATAGGCGGGGGAAAGCAAGTTCAATACTCGTAAAACCACAGACAGATAAGTTAAACCCCAGATAGGTGGGGGAAAGCCAGCTCAATACTCGTAAAACCACAGAAAAGCGATTTATACCCCCGATAGGCGGGGGAAAGCGAATTCAATACTCGTATGCAATACAAGTAAAACCACTGACAAGTGAGTTAAACCCCTAGTCAAGGAAATAAAGCACAAAAAGAGCCGAAATCTCCGAAATTTTTCGATCAAGTCGTATCAAGATGGGGTGTTTTGCATTCGCTTTCTAAAATTGTGGAAAAAATGTATCAACTTTTTATTGTTTTTGGGCCAAATTGCATTTGTGCAGTGCAAAATGCATCTGGAAAAATGCATTTTTTAGTTAGAAAAAATTCATAACTCGGTTAGTAATGTCTGGAATGGACTCAAATCAGGATCCTGGGGGTTTTCGAGGTCGCTGATCCCAAATATGACCTTCAAATTGGTCCATCACCGACTTGGAGCTGAATTTCACTCTTAAATGCAATCGGACAATCTTGACAATCGGACGTGCTGATTCCTAATCTGGCGTCGGCGAGCACCCCTCGGACACCTGGTGCACCGGGACCTGGATATGGATGTCATCTCCGGGAGTTTTCCTGTAAAATTCGCGTAAACGAGCCGAAAATCGCATCAGGGGGTGTTTTGGGGCGCTNTCCGGGAGTTCTCCTGTAAAATTCGCGTAAACGAGCCGAAAATCGCATCAGGGGGTGTTTTGCTTGGCTGCACCTTGTTTTATGAGTATCGAACTCGCTTTCCATCGCCTAATTCTTTGGGTTTTTCTTTTGGGTCGAGGTGGGGGTTCTAAAATTTGTCGAGAGATGTTTGCCCCCTCAATGATTTGAGCGAAATCCCGCCTATGTCTAATTATGTACTTTTTGAAATATTACTTATTTCATACACTTCTTTACTGAAACTAAAATTAATTTAAATGAAAAAAAATATATATATATTAATGTAAGCTGAAAAAATTATAAGAGCTTCCATAAACATTGCCAAAAGTTGCGATGAATTGGTAATGATGCTAGAACTACTCTTAAAAAAAAAGCAAAAAAATTTTTTTCTGAAAAAACAATTTTAGATATTGTATTTATAATTAGTCTGAAGAAATTACTCTTAGCTTTCATTTTTTATTAATTTTTTTTAATGTTATTTCCCTGCTATGGAAAATGGGCCGTACCACCAGGTGTAACGATTGTGGCAATGTGTAGGTACACTTATATTTTTATCAAATGTTAAAAGTATTTTCTGAATAAAATCCAAATAAATCTATTAGTAACCTCAAAAACGATAAAAACATGATGAAGTTGCAATTTTTACATTTTGTGATTGTGATTGAAATTGAAATTGAATTGTATTTTGCCAAATACAAAGATGCCCATGTGCTTAACAGTTCACTCAGTGTCTTTGAAAAAGTATAAAATCTGTACAAATGATGAAAATTTCTTTGACTATATTTAAATACAATCTGAAATTTTTGTTCTTCAAATATAATATACAATAGATATTTAAGAAACCTTATGATTTAGCTAAGGAGTCATAATAATTTAGTAGGCATTTAATATTGAGTTACATTGCCTTTTATTAGTAATAGAGTATCAATTCCACTAAGAATAGTAGTATGGTCTCATAAGCCCTGTAAGCTTTTAATTTGGGTATTATATGCGTTGGATATTTGCAAAATTGTTTTTATATTGTGACGGTATACTCAGATGAAGATAAATTTGGATTACTGTTAAATGTGAAAGCCTATTATAAAATATATAGGTATGTATGTCCTGTATTGCCAAATTAGAAAATCATTAAAAATAACTATAACAGTGAATGTGCCATATTAACAATTTTTCCGTTTATATAGGCCTAACTGGCTTGTCTCGTCGAGATCAGATGAACTACTGTAAAATAGAACTTCACAAGAGTATAAATATTATAAAAAGACAAAAAAATATTTCCTGAAACTTGATTAAAATACCTAGCACCTTTAACGGCATTCAATTGCTGAAAAAAATATATGTTTTTAGAAACACCACTTCAGAGAGCTATCGGCAGAAGCCCAAACGTCCTTAGGCGATATCCCTGAAGCTTTTACGAATTATTGGACGAGTCGTTTCCCACTACTTTTAGTGCATACATGGATCATGATGCAGTGTGTAGCATATGAAACGACATTTAAAAACTATTACCATGAAACACATCGTTATTCAGTAGTCTGTTTCAAGAACCAAATTAAAACATATACTGAACATACCTTAAATTTATCAGACAATGAATATACAAAACATTTTGAGCCTAATATGAGAGAGACCATAGAACGCAGAAAATATATGTCCAAAAGATATTCAAAAATTTCATCCGGTAAACAGAATGAAAAACGGATAAAATATAATTTACAACAATCAGCAGGTTTGTATAGAAATTTAGTAACAAATACCCAGAGTTTGGAAGAAAGCACTGTGGAAACTGATGAAACAAGTAGAAGAAATTTGAAGAAAATGCATGTATTAAAAAAAAGTGCTAAAGCAAAAAAAGTCGATGAGCCCTTGTCATGGGCTATCAGTGATAGATAATACTTTAACTTTTTATTGTGTTCTGATTTCAGATCTCTACAATTTGTTTGTTTCATGCGCATAAATATAGACATTCTCCGTTAAATGGAGGTTGTCATCCAATTTTTTTTGCTCCTTTGCACATTGCACTGTTTCAGTTTGTCTCCATATCCAAAACTGAATTAATTTCTAAATACTAAAATAAATGAAAACAATTTGCCAATGGCAAAGCAAAGTTCTTTTAAAACATTTGATTCGTCAGAGTAAATTTACATAAATAAGTGGTACAGCTTATTGCTGTAAGACTACATATGAGTAATTTGTAATTTTTTAATTGTACATGTGAAAATTATTAACTGACGATGAAAAGAAGGAAGAAGTTGCCAATAGATATATGTATATATAGGGCGTCCGAAATCGAAAGGAACATACTTCAGTGGCAGTTTCTTTGAGCAAAGACTTTCAAAAAAGAAATTGTGTATTTTGCAATTTTTTTTTAAGATGACCTCTTAGATATTTCGGTGAAGTTTAAAATATATGAGTATTTGTGGTAGGCAAAAATGAATATAAGCTGATTTTTTACCTAAAACATAGAGGTCTGTTGTTAGTCTGTTGTTTTTTTTGGCCATTATTTCTTATGTGTAGAGATTTTGAGATATTATGTTGTTTTTTTTTACGTGTAACACGGGGTATAGCTTTAAGTGGGGGCCATATTTACCTTTGACCTTTAGAAACACCTATCAATAGTTTATTTTTTCAAATTCCGTCATGAAAACTATTTTTTTTTTTAAATCTTTTTTTAATAATTTTCCTATTCCGCCTCTGGACAAGCTAATGTGATCTCAAACAAAGGCACGTGTTAGTCGCAGCTCATGCACAATTGACAACTGGGCTATGCATTGTTGCCAAATCTCATAATTTAAAAAATAGACTATTAAAAAGCAAATTTCACTTCACCTGCCCTGAGGTACTGCTCTTTGGGATAACCCATCTGATATCGTCTTCTTGCAGTAGAATCTATTTCTCCGAACAGATAGTAGGCTCTTATCATATCAGCTTCTTGATGCTTTTTCATAATATGACTTAAAAACTTGAAAAAGAAAACACAATACACTACCGTCCTAAACACTGATATAAATAACTTTATAGGGTTATACACTTACACCACACAAAGCTACTATATAAACAGCTTTTCACAAAACGATATAGTCAAATACTAAATAAGAATGTAAGAGACGATATATTTGGCCAACCCCATTCCGTCAAATTAATGTGGCAGTTTGTTTTTAACGCGTTTACTCGTCATATCTGAACACCTGCAACATCGACATGTAAAGAGAACAGCAGAGGCTTTCCTCCATTGCCCCCCCTTCGATCAGTGTTACAGGTCATTGACACTGACATTCAAAAGTAAAATATGTGCTGCTTAAAAAAGCAGCAACATATAAATGTTTGTAAAAACTTTAAATGAAAAAAAAATGTTTTCATATTAATCAGATTAGTATTTTCATTTACTTTTTATTGTTAGTTTTTTAACACAAAAAATAATTATTTTAAAACACAAATTATACTCGGCGGCCGAAAATATAAAGAGTGACTAATACATAATATAAAAACACTATTACCATAATGCGTATAAAATATAAAATGATTTCTATACGGTTCAATATTATTTATCTTTGTGCCGCTCGCCATGCACATCGGTAGAATCTATAATCGTGTATAGACTGAGTTACACTGAACGTCGATCTATATTTTATCTCTGTCTTTTGCGGGAATAGGGAAATGCTTTTTTAGTGGGTGTAAACGGACTTGATTTGCCCGACCTGAGAAATGTCATAGCATAAGCGTAGACGAGGGGTCTAATTCCATGGCCATAATAAACTTATAAATTAAAAAAACAGAACTGGGACGCTTTAAAATGCTGTAATAATTAAAATAGATCAAAGTGCCGGTTATAGCAAACCGTAAAAAATATTAGATGTTATGTTTTATTATGTTTTTTCAATATTTTCTATATCTTGTTGCCTTTTACGCAGACACGCTAATGGATTTTCGTTCCCGGCACGCTTCATCCCCCTTACTAGTCCAAGAGCTAGCGATGAATCAGTATCTATAATTTTGGCCGTCGAGTATAGTTTTATTTACAATTAGAAGCGTATCTACATATCAATATTGGTTAATACGTAATAAACTATGTAAAAATTAAAAAAATTTTTAAAACAATTTTTTTTATGTTTGGCGCTTCGTCCACATTGACATAAAAAAAATATAGTGCCTAAAATAACACGTCATTGTCATAGAAAAGCAATCTGTTTTCACAAATTTATTTTTCATTAGTGTCGCAGTGTAGCAGTTAATTAAAAAAAAATTATTTACAATTAGTAACTTACGTATCGATATTTATTTATCTTTATTTTTTAGAAGTATATTGTTTTTACAAGATCGGCTCTTCTACCACACTGATATTAAAAAAAAAATGTGATAACTTTAAAATAACAAGTCCGTAAACTACACAAAAAGAATCTAATTTGCTAAATTATTTTTTAACTTGCACAATGCAATTGGTATAAAAGCAACTGGCAACGCCGGCAGTGAGGAATACAACTTCATATTTAAATTCCGAGAGCACTGGTTTAACTCTGTTAAGTGGCGGTGTACACAAGAATTAAAGCACAGTTTAAAAAACAAATTTTAACTCACATATTTATTTGATTCAAAAAAAAAAGAATTTCAGATTCGTATTTAGGAAAACGTACTATTGCTCGTAAAAAACTGACCCCCACTTAAAGTTACACCCTGTATTTACTCTGCAAAGGAGTACTTGAACAACATGAAATCTTTTGATTTTTCAAAATTTGACATCTTAAAATTGTCACCTATTTAATTTATATTTTAAACGTTTGTGAGAAATTCGAAAGTAATGTATTTGGTTAGAATAAATATATGTTTATCGTATCATTTGATATCGTGGAAAAAGGGGATCTGAATTATTTTTTGCTACACAGACTAAAGAATGGCTTCAGTAGTTACCTTAATTCACTACTGCTCTATAAATCTGCACTCTACATCACATTATTCAAATGTCGAACTACTGGATAGCTTGATAACTTGACACCTTCCTTGAGCTATTTCCTTCTGCTAGATTCTTCATTAAAACTATTTAATTAACTATAACCAGCCAAACTAAAAAATTTTTACTGCAAGTTATTGTAAGAAACGACAGGATGCATTTTACAAGTATGCAAAATGCTTTGACAACTAACTAGTTAAAATCCAGATTCATTTCGCCCATGAATTATTTTGTGTACTTGTTACATAAATAGCTACTGAAGGCCTGTAACTTTTTAAATAAATGAAATTATGCTATACCAATTTGATCTAAATCAGTATAATTTAATCAAAGAAGCTTCCCTTGAAGTATAGCCTATTCATTTATGATCACTTTGTATTTGTTCCAAAGGAACATTGTAAGTAAAAAACCATAGATGCCTTATAAACATAAAAATGTTATTTTACGAAGAACATAGAAGAATTAAAGAGTATGTAATGTAAGCCTCTCTTGGTTCTTCTGTATAATACTTATTTTTTTATACTGTGATATGTTGTAGTAGTCGTAGGTTTTAATTTGTGTTTGGTACAAAATGTTATATAATTATTATTAATACATAATGTATTTGATAGATCCGTAGTAGTTGGATATATATGTATATACATTATTTTAAAATACATTTTATTTTTTGATTACTGAAAATACAAATGAAATAAATTCGTATTCAATTTTATTCTTTATATTTCCTATAAATATAAATTGTGAATATTGCATTTATCAATGTAAAGTGAAACAGTGGCTCATATACAGGGTGGTCCCGAGGTAATGGGCCAAAATTCATGGGTAGATTCCCCAAGCAAAAATATTGCGATTTAGCCGAACTTACCTTAGTCCAAAAGTTGATAGTTAGTTAAACAGATACGGGGTGTTACATGTAAAATATTATTTCAGTTTTTTTTTAATTTATTCCTTAACAAATGCAAATATCCTCACAAAATGTTGGGGATTGGAGTTCTTTGAGTAGAGGAATTGAAATCTGTTCACATTTTGGTTACAGTTCATAGAGGGCGGTAGCTGCAGTAGATTGAATGTGTTAAAAACGACATAACTTTTTTGTACTTTAAGGTATCTCATCTTTGGTAACAAATTCTTATTTTTCAACTTTTTTACACAAAAAAGGTATACTTTATTAAAGTAGCTATCTCGCAACGTTTTCGAGATATTTGGCTTTGAAACTTCCAATGCTGTTGCATTAAATTACAATTAAGTACCTACAGGTATTATTAATTTAGCGATAAAGTTTCTTAAGTAGGATTTGGACGAAAATCAAATAATTGACGTCTTCCACTTGTCTTATTGCAGTTAATTGTATGCTAATTTCTATTAAGTATTATTCGTATCTAATTAAAATTACATCTTAGCTTACAAATAAAATTTTATACTCATATACAGGGTGTCTCATAATTAGCTGCCAACCCTGAACAGGCCGATTCTATGATCAAAACTAAGTAAAAAAGTTCACATGAACATGANATACTATGAGGAATATTAAGTTCTCGGGAGGATTGAATCGTGTCTGAGATTATTTAAGTCTCGAAGTTTCGGCTCCCGTTTTGGAGTAATTTTCAAGTTTAAATAAATTGGTTAAATTTTGAGGGGGAAAGGATGGGAAGGGATGACCGAATGACCGAACGATACCAAAACATCAATCTGTCTACTCCTAGGATCGAACTGTCATCAGGGATCTCTAATTAACCTGTTAGAGTCTTGATCAGCATTGATCTTTGTTATAATAACACCCTTCCTTAATCCAGACTTCTTGTCTTATACACAAAAGAAAAATAAGACTATGTCTAGGGTTTATTATACAATGATAAATATTGTAGGAAGTGTTGTATTCTAGGACCATGCAAAGCCTTTGTCATGATGTCTGCTATCATTTCTTTAGTACACATATATTCCAAAATAATTTTTGATTCTAAAACAGCATTTCTTATGAAATTGTACTTAACATCAATGTGCTTTGTACATTCCACTTATCATGTTATTTGTAGCTATTTTTTGTGCAGACTGGTTATCATTGTATATAACAATTGGACCATTAAGTGCTTCAAAACAACATTCCGAGATTAAATTTTTAAGAAAATTTGCTTCCTTTGCACCCTGCGACAGAGCAACATACTCTGATTCCGTTGATGAAAGTGACACACGTTGTTTTTTACTTTCCCAACAAACTGTATTTTCACCTAATTTAAACACATATCCAGAGTATGATCTTCGGTCACTTGAGTTTGCCCAATCGGCATCAACATAACCTATCAACTTAAAGGCGTCAGTTTTTCGAAATACCAAGCAGAAGTCAATTGATCCTTTTACATCTTCATTAAGAGAACCATAAAGAAATGCAGTTACAACATCCCAATGGAACATATACAAATCAAATTCAATAGCTAAAGAAAAAAATATTATAATAGTGGTATTTCTAACAACAGGTGATAATCTACACCATATCTCTGATTAAATCCTCTGACTACAAGTCTAGCTTTATATTTCACTATATTACCATCAGAGTCTCGTTTGATTTTGAAGACCCACTTACTGTCAATGGCTTTCTTGTCAGGTGGTAGATCAACTAAAGTCCAGGTATTATTCTCCTTCAAAGATAACAGTTCATCATTTACCGCATTCTTCCAGCATTCGGGTAAATTCTTGATGTCAACACACTCACTATCATCATTACAAATATACGTGTAGTAGTCATTATACACTTTTTGCTTTCTATCGCGCACGGGATATCGCTGACATTGATTTGCACTATCCTTTTCAATGACCTCCAAAGGATTATATGATGCTATACTTTCATCCTCATTGGAGGAAGTATCTTGGGAATCAACAAATAAATTTTCAGTTCTCGTATCTTTATGCTAGTCTGCTATAGGCACACTAACTTCGGGTTGTGTTTCAGTTTCAAAATTTGACATCTGACTGGAACTTGATTGACTGACAGGAACATCTGTCACTATTTCACCAGGGGGATTAAGGTTTTCCTGATTAGGAAAAATGTCTACACATGTATCCTCTGGTAGAAACTTAACATCTCTCGACTATATTATCTTATTGTGTTCTGTCCAAATTCTATACCCATCTTTATCGCCACAATATCCAACTAGGATACCTTTCACTGCCCTTTTATCCAGTTTGTTTCACTTTTGTTGTGGAATGTGAACAAAACATTCTGTACCAAATATTTTTAGACGATTTATTTCTGGCAACTTGCCATACGACAGGTCGTAAGGCGTTTTTCCTTGAATACCAGATGGGTCACTTCGGTTCAGAACATATGCAGCAGTATTTACTGCTTCTGCCCATAAGTCCTTGCTAATATTTTTTGCATACAGC